GATCGCGTTCCTCGTGCGCCCAGACCTCCGTAATGGGATCGGCGCTGGTCCGGCAGGATTGACAATTCGAGGGTTAAGATCCACCCTTGGTTCGCGATGCGGTGAACGCAAGTCGCGTTCCAACGGAGCTGGCTCTTCGTCAGGATCCGGCAGGAGATCTTGTTGTTCCCTTCGTGAGGGGTCACCTGCTGGTGGATTCTGGTACAAACCCTCTAACTCGTCTTCGTCCAGGTCGCCTTCACCAAAGCCATCGGCTGGTTCCAGTTCCCCTTCCTCAAACTCGTTTTCATCCTCGTCGTAATCCTCAACCTTGGGCTGTTGCCCTTTACGCTTCTCGTCTGGAGTGTCTGACCTTGGCGCTGGAGGCGGGCTTCGGTTTCGCCGCCCGTCGGCAGGTCCACCGTTGCCACCTTGGTCAGGAAACATATCGGCAGGAGACGATGGTCGGTCGTCATCCGAACCAGAAGGATTGGAGTTGGTTTCAATGATGGGAAACCTAGGTGGTAGTAGCTCATCCACCTCTGGTAAGCACGTAAAGCGCTTGGTGTTCCGTTGCCAGAACATGGTACGCTTCGGAAAAGTCTGCTCATCGAACGTTGCGTTAACAGCGACCCGTAGTCTCCATTCTCCGGTTAAGAACAGTCTTCCGTTCCCTGCCGGTGACTCCCCGACGTAAATACACGCCTGGGATCTTGGAACAAGTTTGTTGGCTCGTTCCTCAGGAGTCAGGTACACGTATGCCAAACATCCGAAGACACGCAAGTAGTCAACGCGGGGTTTTTTACGCTCCACGACTTCATACGGTGATTTCCACTTCAGACGTTTCATGGGCGTCCTGTTATAGACGTGACATGCGTGCTCGATGGCGAAGTTCCATAGGAACGGCAGCAAATTGGCATGATGCAGCATAGTCATAGCTTTTTCGTCTAAGGTGCGAATGATCCGTTCCGCCCTGCCATTTGTTTCATGGTTATACGGCGTTGATTGGAGGATGCGAATGCCACGCGATTCTAAACTTTTGGTAAAGGCTCGTGATTTAAACTCTCCCCCTGCATCGCTCATCCACATCCGAATCGTTTTGTGGTACTGATTCAGCAGCATGCTAAACCAGGTCTTTACGGCTTGGTGGGCGTCGCTCTTCTGATGAAGAAGCATCACCCATGCGTAGGACGTGCAATCATCCATAAGGATAAGCGCATAATATTTTTTATTCCACGACTCGACTGCGAACTCTTTGAGATCGGCATGGATTAATCCAAGGAACTCGTTACTGCGATGCTCGTTCGGTGGGAACGGGATCTGGTGCTTTTTTCCAAGCATGCACCCCTCGCATGGTCGTCGAATTGACGGCGAGGGTAAGCTAAGACTCGAAGGAACTCCTTCGACATGTGTCCGTGCGTATCGAAGCACTTCGTCCGAGCAATGCCCGAGACGTTGGTGCCAGATCTGAAAGTCGGGTAGATTCATCCCGACAACACCAGTCGCATGAGCCTGGTGCAGATCTAATGATGTGTGAACCCAAAATAGGTTCCCCCCAGGGCACACTGTAGCGTGCACCACTTCTTGTGACTTATTGGCGGTGAGCACCACCAACTTGTCGGCATCTCCATGCAGAATATTCCCGTTACGGCAGAATTGACCCGTCGAAAGCATACGAATGGTTCCGCCAGGAAGGTAGAAAACGGGGTAGATTTGGGTGGTGCATGGTTTCCCACGCGTGTTC